ATATATATATAAAGTTGCTGTTTTACGTCGATACATGTGAATAACAAATATTTGATGACACGCGGCGTCTTCCTTGGAACATACAACTTGAAATAAATAAATAAATAAATAAATTGGGATCCAACAGTTTTAGAAAGCAGCGCTTAGTGCTATTATTTTTCTACTCAACGATGGTTCGCGACGCATTGACGAGAGAATAGTGAGTATGGTGTTATACATAGGAATCTGCAATGCACTTAAACATTTGAAGGGTACGTAAGCTACAAAATTAAAATAAAATATTTAAATTTAATGGCGTCGTATGTACTGTTGATTGTGACTAGACATTTATTTTGCCTCGCACATGCTCTCGAAGCATCCACTGGAACACATTTTCTTTACTTATTATCATTTCGAGAAAATTAAACGATGAGTGCATTTTAAAATAAAAATTTTAATTGAATACTTTTCATTTATTACTATTTCATAATAAAATCAATAAAATGTTACATTCACTCATTGATAAAGAGTGATATTTCGCTCTTTAAATAAATCTTCCGCGCGGATACCGCCGACGCTCCGAGTGACTGAAGCCTTAACGCGGGAAGCTGCGGGGTGAGTGCGCTGCCCCTGTGCACTTACTGCAGTAGGGGGCGGCTTCGTTGGTCTGCACGTAGAAGGAGCCCTGCGCCGGGAATTGGTCGGCGCGCAGCCCCATCTGCGAGCAGCGCTGCAGGTCGCAAGGCGCCGCGAGGGCCGCCGCCACGCTGCAACACCGCGCGCCGCAGATGGCCAGGCGCTCCCACTCACAGGGCAGGGACACGTGCGCTCGTCACTTTCACACAGTTATCCACGAGGCACACAAGTCAAAGAAAGTAATCTCGCATGAAAAATTCGTGATAGTCACATGAAGACATTGCATTGTCAGTTCACATTACTTGCATCAGTAAAGAAACGAAGTTCTTACGTCTCTCATGAAAGCTGGCGAGCCATTGGTGCTTCCACGCCTGAGAAGGGTGTATTTATTTGTTTACTAGTGGGCCCGTCAATACTTCGCTATTGCAATGTATACAATTCAAGTTCAAAATCGATTTAATCAATGAAGATTAACTACGTATTAACTACCCTTTGTATATTAAACCACACTTTAAAAATCAAATATTCCAATTACATTTTACGCCGCCAGTATTTGGTTTGAGACTTCTTCCTTTCTAGATCGCAACTTCTAGATCGTAGTTCAAAAAGATATTCATTGACCGCAATTCAGATGAGGTCCTCTGTGAATGTGTGACACTACAGCCCTGAAGAATACTGCGTTATGTCGGTCGAAACGTCGGTACCTCAGCCTTCGACGCTACGTCATCCGGACAGCCCAGATCATGACTGACCGCGGAAGCCTACTACATCGTTCCTATAGTTTGCTTGTCTTGAGTTGAAATGTTAAGGACTCATTGAGAACGATGTGTGGGAAAATCCGATCTGAAGGTCATTAGGTATCTCCTTCGTCGGATGACCTTGCAGTAAAGTTACTATAGAATGTGAATTGAATCTTTCAAATTAGTTTGCTTAACCGATTCGAGGAGGACGGATTGTGAGTTTGTCAACCAAATGAATAAGTGAAAGGTCTGTTTTGAAATTAGCCAAGAGGAGGTAAGGGATCCTAAATACCTTGTTTAAGTTGAATTTCGTCATTTACAGTAATTAAAAATTTTAAAAAGAAAATACTTCACTTGGAAACTATTAGGACAATTAAATTTGATTTACGCTTTCAGTAACCTCATAACCTTCATTAAGTGACCTTATTAACGACAATTTTTGGCCGGAATCACAAGTAAAGCTCCGCCTCGTACTATGTCAGTACCCTGAAGAAGCCTGCGACATGACAGGCGAAACGTCGGCCTATCTGCCAACGACGCGGCGTCACCCGGACAGCCTAGAAGTAATGGACTCGAGCCGCGGAAGCCTACGTGTACATTGAAAAATCCAGCCAGAATAGTTGCTGAAAATTCGTGGGACTAATAAGACTTAGTCAACGGAATAAGATTAAACTTACTACCGAAAATAAATGGTGTGAAACTAATGACTAAAGACCAGGCACAATGTAAGTTAAATTTTGTACAAATTTAAGACTAGAAAAAGATGCTTTAGTGAACGCTTTTGAATTGATGATGCGAGTTCATAATTAAAATTCTGACTCAGAGCGCGTCATTCTCTTTTGATGAAATGTGAATTCACCGCTATATCCCAGAGGGCAAGAAAAAATTTAGATTGGTGTGGATCAAATTTAAACCCATGAAGCCGGGAAGATAATGGCTATCATTTTTCGAGATAAGCCGCCAAAATTCACTCTTTGTTGCACCTTTTGTTTGCTCATTTCAGTTGTTACTCGCTTTGCCAACTGATGCTTCAACTGTGGCAAACTGTGAAAAATTGAATTTGAGTAACTATACACACCTTTGATTGAATTATAGTTCCTTTATATGGTGTATGATAAAATCCTTACTCATTTGTGAGCATGGAAGAGGCACACCTTTGTATGCATGTTCAGTATTGTTTATTACAGCTAATGTTTACAATCTAAAGTGAATACTATCTCCCGGATTTGAAGCACAATAGAATTTTAAATAGATCTTTTCGTCATCAAACAATACCGCTCAACTACATCTCACCATCCAACTCATACGAAGAAGTGCAGAATAAAATCGAACTCATTGCTTTTTGTAAAATATATCAAGATAACTTTTATCATAATTTTTTATCTGAAATATCCAACTTGAAACGAATTTGTAGCAAATATTATGAACATCGCTGAATTAACGAATATCATCTCCTTTGATACCTAGAGGATGGGCGTTTCCTACTGAAGCTTAATTCTGCAAAAGACATGGAGATACGTATAAATAATATGTGTATGTATATAAACGTCAAATACATATAAATAAAAATAATAAACAATTTGGTTACTTTAAGTCTGACGAAGGCAGAATAAGGGAGTGTAGTCGTTGATATCAGATTACTATCTTTGAAATCCCCGTATGCATGTGTGACGGTCCAGAGGGACTCGTCGAAAAAGTAACAAGTTTTAAATACAGTCTCCAGTGAACACGACATTGTCATAAACAAATGACTGCCCGTAAGCGTAGGATAATTTATTTATTATGCGGGACTTGACGAACTAGCGATATCTAATCAAATCGGCTTAAATAAATAAATAAATAAGCCATATTTTGGAACGACCAGAAACAAAGGTATATCAAGTTTTGCAGCGTAAATTCGAGAAAAGTATAACTTAGCCCGTGACAAGTGAACATTATATAAAAACCCTTTGTAAGTAAGTGTGAAAATTTTAATAAACTGATTGAAAATAACATTAGAAAATATAAAGAAATTACGATAAATGTACGTAATTAATTTACATATAATGTATAATAAGAAATAACGAGAAAACTAGAGAGAAAATGCAATTTTGTGGGGGAAAATATACAAGTAACAAACGAAGGTGAAGGACGGCAGTTGTTTTCCGGCACTTGGAGTGAAGAGAGGAATTTGACTCAGAGTGGGCTTGAAATCGGTCGAGAGCAGATGGCAGCGAAGACGCCATGTTGAGTTACAAATTGTGGTACGAGAATTGATGAATGTCTATCTAACGTTTCGTAGTGGAATATTAAATATGGAACGAACTCAAAAGTGGTTATAATATGGAGATGAAATGGAACTGGTAATGGCTAATGGACATGCGGCGGGCATTTGAAGAAGGCATCGAAAAGGGAAGTGCTCACTTTTTGACTTTTTATTTTAATTCAACATTCAAGTCTGTCTTAATGTCTGTCTTCAAGTGTTTGCCTTAATAGGACAAGCAATTTCAAAGTTCAAAATGTCATGGCCATTGTAAGAGAACGTACGCGTATTAGTATGAATGAGTACTTTTTTAATATTAAGCGTATTTATCTTGTAAATATTTTTATTTTGTTTGAGGGTATATATATATATATATATATATATATATATATATATGTGTGTGTGTGTGTGTGTGTGTGTGTGTGTGTGTGTTGTTTGTGCTATGTTTGTAATAGCTAGGAGAGGCGGCAACGACGCCACGTCATATTGCGATGAATAAATGAAATTGGACCAGCACTTAGCGGTCGCAATAATTGTTAGAGAAGATTTTCTGTGTTTTTTGAAATCGGGACAGGGCACATAACGGACCATAACCCAGCAACAGACGATTTATTCCCGTTTCCTGCATAGGAAGAGCTCGCATCATTACGCCTCAAAACAAATTTTTTGGTCGGTAATCTATCCGGTGTGTGTTGGTTTATTCGTATTTATAAATATGAAAAATAAGTAGAAATAAATATATTGCTTGTATTATGATGAGTACAGGAATTTCACAAACCGCGTCAGTAGTTTGCCCAACGTGGGGCGAATGTATTATGTGTATTGGCGTGGTATTATTTATATTGGAGCTAAGCACGAACCGTCTCACATGCGTAAATGCAGAGTAGAAAGCAATCACGGCGTAGTACTGCTTTTGTTTTATTGTTTTGCATGCGCATGTCAGAGTACGTGGCGATAAATAGGTAACATTGTAGAATATTTTCATATGTGTCACTATAAGTCCGTTGGAAATTTCCACAAAATTTCCGAGTACTGAGGAGACAAGGGTAAACCTAGAAAGTTTCAATATTAATAAGACTATTCCACGAATGGAATTACCGTCAAAAAAGTTTCAGAATTTGCCATAAATGATTTACATTACTGAAACATGTGATATCTCTGAATATAGCGTTCTGTAACTGATGTATCGCGACTTGTGATTGGCCAGTAGAGAGAAGCGGTAAGAAAAAGGGGGTACAAAACGCGCTAATTGTTTTGAGTTTATCGCCCTGGTTGGGGCATTCCAGATGTATTATTAAAAGTTGTTGGTGTTAATTTCATGAGTGGGTAATAATCATTAATTGCCATTGACGGGAAGTAATCATTAATTGCCATTGAAAAACAGAAGTTTTACAAAGTTACTTTTTTCCATAGTTTACACCACTTGTTTTCCTAGTTTCAACCACTACTACTTAACAGCATAACGGAATGAGTGGGGGCCCGCCCGAAAAATGTTTATCCGGGTCGCTTTTATGAAAGGATGTAGCGACAACACATGTAATGTGTAACCTTAAATAATGAAAATATCTTTTATCAAATTCATCACTCTAATTAAAAACCAATAGTGAAAAATATGCGTTTATTATTTTATTTTATGAAAGTAACACTGTTATAAAACCAAATTGAATTGCTTCCCTTTATTGATTTAGAAACAGGATTACATAAACTAACGAAGCGGGAAAAATCGTTCTTGAAGATGCTGTTTGTAATCATTAATTGTATCGTCTATCGCAAAATATCAGATGAAGTATCAAGTAATTATTTCTTACAATCGCAAAACCTTTAACCTAAAAGTTGGCCCTCTTTTGTCCCCGAAAGTTACGCCACTGCTACCTAATAGCATTCAAACACATGTCATGCGGAGATCTAGGATCAAGTTTCGTATATAAAGTCAGCAGCGCTCCCTTCTGCTCTGACAAACGTGAAGTGAAAAAGTAATATGAATGAAACTTTTCATTAATGTCACTTTACACAAATGTAAAGTGAACAAGTAAAACTAATCAATAAGAAGCATTCATCATTTCAAGAACGCTGCCAATCAACGTAAGAAGCGCCAACTTGAGTAAAAATAGGATTTTCAGTTAAACATCAATATTTAGACCACCTATATCGGGTATGTTTGTGGAAATGTGGCTAGACAACTAGGGTCAGTGAGAAGAGTCCTGTTTTGTTTCTAATGGAACCCCGGGCCACTTTTAAGCACCAGCCGCTTAGTCTCGCCGCTCTTATTCTATTCGCGACGTTTATCCTTGTTTATGAAACTTGTAATTATTTGTAATTAAATATTGGTATTTTTAACAACAAATATGTTTAGTTTCTTTATTCAGAAGTATATGAAAAAATTCTCAACAGCAACTTTCTGGAAGTGCAAAGTCGAGTCGAGCCACGAATAACGCGAACAGGTGGTTTCGCAAGAGCAGCATTTTTTCCATTTGCTGATTAGCACAAGTTGCTGAGCGCACTTGCCCCGTTGTTCCGACGCATTCTTCATTTCTGCGGCCACGGGGAGAAGTTCTTAAGTCCAAAATCTTAGTTTGGAGAAACCAAGGTTGGGTTGAGCCGTTATTGATGAGTGGTATTTAGCTATATTTCCTAACACTTTTCGTTAAGGAGCAACATTTGAATTCAGTAAAATACACTATAGATTCTTGACTCGTGGTTTCAGTAGGTAACTGACTTCCGCCAAACATTGGCTTAAGAGCTTCTTAAGGGCACTCACCTGTGCGGGCGGCGGTCCCAGGCGCGGCCCCAGAAGGAGCAGTTGGCGGCGCGCGCGGCCTCGACGAACAGCATGTGCGCGCGCCCGTGGCTGCACAGCGTCCGCTGCACGCCTGCCCGCACGCAACACCACTCAACCACCCAATGCCTTCAACGAGGCAACGGTCGACGAGTTATCCCTCCCTTCATAATGCAGGATGAGCCATTTGAGATGAAAAAGAAACAATATTTGCAATAGACCTTATTTGCTGTTTTCGGCTCAGAAACATAGATTCCCGTACAAAGTGGTTTTGTAATATTTTGATTCGTCGCAGACTGTATATTACCGTATCGGTATGTTCTTTTCCAAGACTCGACGCTTTGTCGTAGACTGTAGTGGTTCGTGAGAAGCAATTCTGGCGGTCGGCTGGCAGGATTCGTTTCTGACGCGCCTAGCGTCGTCGCAGGGCCGCGTGCAATGCAGAAGTTGTTGTCGCTTATCCACAAACTTACACCCTAACATAAATTCAATAGATCAACTTAAACAATATAATTTACCCTTAACGTACAACACAAACCAGAATTAACAGATACCCGTTCGATTCCTTCCTAAAACTTTTCTCAAGCTATTGTGAATAGTAGGTACTCTAATGAGAAATTTACTCCAATTGTAGTAGCAATAATAGAACTAGGTTAAGCATAGTTGTACGTTGGTAGTACGTCAACAATACATATGAACGGGTGTAAACTCAATTATGTACAATCCATAAAAGCAAAAATGGGAAAAAACACAAGAGTTGTATTTTGCGCCCCAATTCAGTTAATTCATAAGTTTGCGTTTTTCTTTGCGTTTGAAAAAAATTTACATGTTCCCGGGCAATACGTGGAACTGTCGTCAGAACTTCAACTCTCTATAAACACAATCTGTACTTTATAGAAGAAGATAAATTGTCAAGAACCTGCTATTCAGAAACGAAGAGTTACTCAGCAAATTGACAGTAGAAACATTAGTTCGTGAGAAGACGGGGTTGATATTTTCCAACTAAAATGACTCATCCTGTATCAATGCAGCCCATAATTCAGCCCCACAAGTGCCAAGTCATTTGCATTCTGGCGGAGAAAGTTTTCAACACTTAGTGATCACCCAACGCTTTCGGTAGCACTAACCCCCAGTTCCGAACAAAAGTTTTGGTGTTTGTGGAATCGATACGTTTCTCACTACCTCTTACAACGGAAGGGTGTTTAAGTGGCACAATCTTTTGAAAGGATCGGTACTGGGAACTTAATAGAGTAGTCAACTATGTATCAATGACCTTTCTTTTTTTCC